ACCCTGTCAAATGCATTAATGATAAGTTGGGAAGTAGTAGTAATTGCAGACATGGCATTATAGATAACAGCTAATTGATACCACCCTCTCAAATATGTATAGCACATCAGCTGCCATGAAGCTGGAATGATTATAGTAATATTTACAACAGTTTAAAAACATTAGATAAGATGTAAAATGAAAACATAGGGTGCTTGGTACAATCATCTCACTTTTTGATTTGTGACTTTGGACAAATACATTTTTAGTATTGATTGATCATTAACACTTCTATTTTTCTGAGGAGGTAAGTATATATTGGTTTGTTCTAATTAGATTCCAGGGGAATGTCATATGGATGAAGACTATAGTTAACTAAAGAGAGATGGGTTGCCCTTAGCCCCTGCAACTCAGAGCTTGTTCTTTGGATGGCATTTAGATGACATTGCTATGTTTTGGGATTACTTAGTTTTGAGTGTTATTATCTGGTAATGCAGTACTAGTCAATCTTTCTTTCTTGCTTTTTTTTTTTTTTTTTCCTTCTCTTTTCTTTCCCCCTTCTATTTTGTAGTTGAGAATTAGCAAGAGAAATCTGGAAACATTAATTCTTCCCTTCCATTAGAATTTGGCTTCTTCCTTCATACCAAATACGTATTAATATAAGGAAATGATCTGAGGAGTTCAGCTGAGGCTTGCGATAACTGATTATAAAAGAAGCTTTTCTTCCAATGTCATGGAAAAGACTGTTATTGTTTTTAGCTCATTACATCTCCAACTCTGAATAGCTTTGCTGTTTCACAGGAGCAATCTTAACGGTTAATAACTTTAGCAGAGATCTGTGTAATACTCCTATTTGCATTTTGTGAGGAAAAAAAGAAGTGAGGAAGAAATAAAGCAGATGCTCCAAGTAAAACGTACATGAAAAGAGGCGAATTTAGCATGAGCTCAACATTAAGAGTGACAGCCCCACTAGCACACATCTATAGTTTGGGCATGCCAGCTCATATTTCCTTGGAGATACCTTTGTTTCCCAGAGAAACCTTTGTTTTCCAGCACTTGCAAGGAGAGAGCAGAGAAACTCACCTAGCAGTTTTTCTGAGCAGACAAGTTCTTGCTTATGTCAGGGTTTCTGGGTTTAGGTCACTGTTTCAAAGTGAGGAGACAAGACAGGAGGGGAAGGTGACCCCAGTACTGGCTCTCATCAACTAGGGCATGGTTCTGCAGTACCCAGTTAAAGCAGGCAGAGCAGGGGCTGTGACGGAGTCCCTGTGGAGTGATCAGTCAGGTCTACCCAGTGAATACAATCAAGAGCAGTAGGATATATGGCCAGAAATAGAGCTGGAGATAGAGCATGGCTCACTGTTCCAGCCAGGAACAAAACTGCAGCATGCAACAGAAGGGGAGTGGGATGGTCATCCAACTCACATCTACAACATCTACTCACAGCAAAGATCTACCATCCATCCGAAAGACATAAGCAGGATTTGAGACCACTACACTTTTTTTGGAGGCAGTGGTACAGGAATGGTATATGTTTGTTAAAGAAGGCTCACTCACTTCATATTGTTTTATATATATTTGCAACTCTTACCTGTCAGTAAGTTATGACAAAATTAGATGCCTGTTGATGATATAGCACAGCTATATATGTATATATATATATATATATATATTGCACAGCTCTGTGAAGCCAGAGGGAGCTTTATCAACAACATGTAGGCATTGGCAAGATGAAAAACTGAGATGTGCAGAGGACAGCCAGCACCAGCTATTCCATCATTTCCCAGCACATGAGTTGAGGTGAAAAAAACAATTTTGGAGGGAATTTTTGGCTATAACACTGAGATGATCATCATGCCTGAAGTGGACATCCTGTTTCTAGCTGACAGTTGTTTTTTTTTTTTTTTTTTGCCTTACTTGATGTAACTCCTAGTATAGAGCAATGAGGGGCATTAGGGTGAGAGGAAAGTCAGCAAATACAAATTTGGTCAGCTCCCATGGTTAGGATATATCTACTCCTGATCTGTGTGATTTGGAGAGGATAGAGTGACAGATTTGACCCACGTGGTTGTACAAATGCAAACCTGAAGCTCCCAAAGAAATAAAACCATAGCTATGGGGGCTTCAGTGCTCCATTCTCTGTCCCTGAAATCACAGGTTGTAAAATATAATACCAAGCCATTAGATCAAATTCTGACCATGTAGTTAGTAGCTGTCATCCTTTTAAAAAGTAATAGTAGCAGTAGTGAACGTGGCATCATTGTGGTAAGAGTAAAATATCACTATTTGCCCACTAATGTAGTTAGAATTGTGAAAATGAACCCAACTCCTGTGTTTTCATTAAGCTGTCTTGAATGAATTTTTACTATATATGTATGTATACAAGAAGTTCTTAATCTCATGTATATATGTATATGTACCTACTGTGATAGATTTCTTCAAATTAAATCCTGCTTCTGGAAGGGAGGATGGAAAAAAAAATAATAGAAAAGACAAAATCTCCAACTGAAAGTGGAGCTGTTTTGGGACCATTAATGTATTCTTACTACTTTTGTCAATTATTTGAATTTGTTTTCTGGTATTCAAGCTGGCATGAAGGACAACTTTACAGTGAACATATAGTCTTCAGTCCTAGATATGAAGACAAATTTATTGTTATTATTTTTTTATTTATCAGATATTCTTAGAGACAGTTGTCCAAGGTTTCATTCCCTGACTTCTTCCCAACGCTATGGCTCCATAAATCAGACCGGGAGCGTACCTGCTTATACAGCTGTGCCAGGTGAATAGTACTAGAACTTCACCTAGTCAAGGGAAGGGATGTTCTGTGGCAGATTCCTCTCTCATTCCCAGCTTCTTTCTTGAAGCAGAGAAGTAAGAATCTGTGTCCTAATGCAGGAAACAAGACAATGCCACTGACTGATCTATGGTGATTTTCATAGCTGGTTGAGAAGTAAACCTCAAGGAAATTTGGGGAAAGGAGACAGCCTCTCATTTCTTTATGTTTGAATGCAAGATTATTAACAGGAAACATTATATACAATTCCATCTATATTTTCCAAGTCATTTTCCACGCACCAATCCTCAGCCAACACAACTGGCATCGTTCCCATTAAACAGACACTAATTTATAGCAGCTGAAGTCCTGGATCTTATTTAACTTTCGTATTCATATACTATAGTCTGGGAAACGTCAATAAAGCATGCAGGTTTTGAAATGCATAAGATACATGACCACAACATAACTATTTTACATATGGGCTTGAATAGAACTGTTACTTATGCCTGACATACTATGATGTGCTTTATTTAAGGCCCTATCTCATTCTGTAAGTCTCTTGACCTACATTCTGCTACAGTTTTCTCTTGGAAAAGAGATTGAGGATTCAGACACTGCTTCAAGTAAATTAGAGAAATGGAAGTCTTTACCAAAACAATGTGATGAATTCTTCCTTGTGCAGCATTGTATTGCACATTGCCTCATATTGATTTTATGCCAAACTTAATATTCTGTTTTTTTGGTGGATGCAGCCTTGGTACCAAGGATATAATATTGGTATTAAGAGATGTGAGCAGTAAATGAGTTGAGGAGCAGGTATGGGGGAATAAGTTGGGAAGCTAGTATGGGGAAACTAGAGTTATTTGATATGGAAAGAGTAGAAATTGGTCTGCAAAGCAGAGGTTAGGATAACAAGCAGCTGTGAAATACTTAGCATCACTGACCGCTTAAATAATGTCTGTCAAGTTTTCTACTTTAATTACCAATTAGAATAGAGGGAATAATTTTTGCATATTACAGCCATTGTGTTAGGCTGCCCGCACACTTGGGCATGCATCTCTGACTTTATTTTCAGTTAACATCTGGAAGATTTTCTGTGCCACTAACTGAAAAAAAGAAAAAAAAAAAGAAAAAAAAAAAAAAGGAAAAAACCCTCAACGCAAAAACAAACAAACAAACAAACAAAAAAACCAACAAAAACCAAACAAACAAACAAACAAAAAAAAAACCAAAAAAAACCAAAAAAACCAAAAAAAAACCAACAACAAAACCACCACCCTATTTTAATTTTAAAAATGACAGTCTGCATCCTGCAGTGTGTGTCTGCAGCAGTGGGTGGATTCTCTGGCAAATTTAATAGCCACAGAATCACACAGAGCCCTGACTATTACCAAATGGTGTGTGATAAACAGACGCAGAAACTTATTTTACTAAAATATTCTCTTCATTTAGTACTTAAATACACTAGCAGTGGCCTTTTGAAAAGCCTTGGGTCATGGAGCAACAATTGCTGTTGGAGTCTCTGGGCTGCTTCATTGTTTATTTAACTTGACAGCAAGCTAGCTACAGTTTCACAATTTAGATCATTTATTTTTATGGTCAAAATGTTTGTACAGTAGCAAAACAGCTTAGTGTATCTCTGCAATGAAAGAGTGCCCCATTCTGCAGCTGCTCTGCCTTTCTTTAGTTGAGGCTTCGTGCAGAGTGGGTGCTTCAGAAACTTGGCAAACTGTTAGATCAGCCATGTGCTAGCCTGCACTGCTTTCCCTGATGTGTGAGTATGCTGTGCCCACAACAAGAATACCTTGGGAAGCTCATCCCAGAATTGCTCACTAACATATCAGGTAAACCTTGGGGGGAAAAAGAGATTCTGCAATTTCCCTTGAATGAGAGAGCACACAGATACAAAAGTACAATTTAAGAGCTTCCTCAACAATGCTATTAATGTGCCGGTGATGTTAATTTTTGTGTTATATAGGAATGTTTCATTGAACGTAAGGAAAACCAGCAAGTAATGACATTTTATACCAACAGGTGCTTGGGGTGGTCAGTGATGGATCCTATTGGAATCTTCAGTGGCCTTTAGTGCTGCCTGTGAATATTCATTCGCTGCATCTGAGTCCAGTAAATAATGTATCTTAAGAAAAAATAAGATCTCCATCTGCTTTCTCTAGTACACTTCCACCAAAGTGCTAGGAGAGCATAAGGAAAAGTACAGAAAAAAGAGGAATTTTTCTTGCAGATCGCCTATTTTATCCACAACATGAGATTCTGTGACCTAGGGCAGTAGCACAGAGTTGAAGTCAGGAGGTTTTCGTGAGGACCCAGAATCTGAGCAGCATCTAGACAGGACACCTAGAAAGAGGAAACCTTGGTGAGTACAAGTCTTTTGATGTCTTTGGGGTTTTTCAGTGGCAAGAGCTGAAGCCAGCAGCCAGTATTTGGCTCACCGGGTTTTTTGTAGATGTGAACACCACCTACGCCAGTGGCAAACGATGGTCCCTCATATTGTTCATAAGAAGAAAGTGAGGCTTTGGTGCCATGAATCCACCCACTGAGAAGGTGAGTGAATTATGGATGTTGTTATATATCTATAGAAATATCTTCAGTTATTTGTATGAGTTTTTCTCACTTCTTCCATGCCTCACAGAGTCCCACTACTGCAGGAGGACTATAGCACAGGCAGAAGTACCAGCTTGGCCCCTGGTAACTTCTCCCATTCCCAGAAGAAATTCACTCCTTCCTGGGCTATGCACGTGCATCAAAGCAGGTTCTGAACTATTTTTCAGTTTCCACTGAATGCTATTTTATCCTCTGAGAGCTCTGTAAGATTGGCATTATCCTGTAGCAGTATCACAGCCTGCAGTCATTTAATGCCTCTTCTTGTGAGGCCGGGATTCCACGCCCAAGTGCATTTAGTAGGTCAGTACAGTAATTTTAAATGTCTTTCTTTCAGTCTTTTGCCATCTTCAATTATACCTTTCCACCCTACTATTTGTGTAATTTTCTTCTGTCTGAAGTCTCTTTACTGTTGTTCTGTATTGCACAGCGTGACAAATTACCCATCAAGCCGTATCTTTTCAGCCCAGAAATGCGCAGTAACACAGAGTCATGGCATTATCACATGTTGTGCACTTTATTTCCTCACAGTTCATTCAAGTGTGTCACTTTATTTTCCGGCTTCCTTTTGTCATCATGAAGATTAACCATTTTATTCTTCCTAAACTTCAGAAAGAATTAGAAATGCATTATATTGTAAGCCCAGAGCAACACCTACACAATCCCATACAACCCGTCCTTGGCAAAATTATTTTCTGCAACTCTGAGCCTTGCAGAAGCTGGGGCTTTCATTGTTATTATACAGCTGAGTAACCCTGGCCATGGGTAAGAGAATTATTTGTAGCCCCTGGCCACCAACCAAATTAATTGTGAGACACCATTCACTTTGACAGTGCACTCCAGCTCCTTCTGGGAGCTATGAAACTCTCCGGGCCTCATGTTTACTGTGCCCAGGGTCCTTCTCTCCCTCCCTCTCTCTTTAATTCAAGATAAATACCAGTAATTGTACAGCTTTTGCTGAGTTATCTCCCAGGCATTGCAAGGATGTGCTAGAAAAATCAATTGTAATTGCTCAGATAGTCAGCAGGGCTGCAGCTGGTGTATAAAAGGCATCCTTAGAAAATGTGATTTAAGATGATCTAGGGAAAGTTTGTTATTAGAGGATTGTTTAAGGGCCCAAGTAGGTCTTTCAACATTAATGTCTGAAGAGACCCACAGAAGTATATTCAAACCTTTCTCCAAAATGTACCTGAGATGTGAGATGGGATTTGTTCAAGCAAATGTGCCCAGTTCTCCTTTATAATTCATTTCATAATTCATCAGTACGAATGGGTAGGTGGGAAAAATAGCACTTCTGTAAAACAGACCAGAGGGATTAAGAATTAGCTAAATCTGTGGAGTTAAATTTGGTTGGAGAAAACATAATTGACATTCAGATTAACAAAATGTTGACTGTTCAGTACCATTGCATTTTATAGTTTTGCAAAATGCTGATGCCTAGGAAGGAATAAGAGCAGAATATGATAAACTGAAAGTGTTGTGGTGCCAAGGATACCAGGAGTCACTTGCAATGTTAGTGGTCCCATAACATGAAATATGTCAGATGCTGGTTGACAGAGCTAGGATGTGCTGAAGAAGCTGAGCATGAGCAATAGGAGGTACACATGTAAATGAGGCACCAATCCTAAGTCTGGGCTTATCTAATTTTCAGCACTATTTCTGTTCCAGGCTCTGAAGCATTTTACCATGTTTATTTTGCTTTTTACCTGCTTCACAACTTCACCTACTTGGGAATAGGATAAGAAAAAGCAGGTAAAAAGCCTTTCATGTTAGCTGATATAAAAAAAATGAAAGAAATCTTTTGTATCACTTGACACACAATGTAATTCTAATTCTTTTTTTCAAACTTATTTACAGGCACAATGGCAACATTAGTATGTGCTAGTAAGAAAAAAATGCATGACATTTTTGTAAGAAGCCTGACTTTTAAATGGAAAAATAAAACTTATACATGAGTTTTTGAAACTTCATGTGAAAACTCTCAAAATTGTTTTATGTGGACTAAAAGTTCTGACTGTTGCAGCTCATTTACTTTGTAATGTTCTCTAATTAATTTGCTTTAGAGTGTCAAGCAGGAGCTGGTAATAGAAAATCCATCTCCCCCTTAAAGAAAATTGTTACTGCAGCTGATAAACAGAATTATACAAGCTTTGTCACACAAATCACATTATAAGAGGTTCCAAAAAACTTGACAATGTTGACAGTTGTTTTCAGCAAATGGCTGCTTTACTGTAGCACTGTCAATGTTGATGTCCTTGTGCACATGTAAAAGAGCAATGTGATTAAGGCAAGCTTGTCCATGCTAGATATGAGCCAAGTTTTCAATCTCCTCGTGGCACTGAAAGATTGCTCAGCTGTTGCAGATAAGGCAAGAATAGCTAGCAGATTTCTGCCATTTAAATAATTAAATAAATAAATAAATCCTTGTCTTTGGGCATGCATCTATACAAATTTGTAACATCTGCTACTGACCTCATGTTCTAGATAAGAAGAGCTCATATTTGTAACTCTAATTGATATTACTCAGTTTAGATGATGTACTTCCAAGGAGATTACAGAAGTATCTTTTTTAAGCACAGATTTATCTAGACAGCAGTCTAAAGTATGATACACTTTTGTGAAGTGGTGAATTATCATCACTCTTCTCATGTCAGTTACCACTGCAGTTTACATCCACCTTATGTTGAATATAATTTGCACAAATAATTTACATTGCCTTTTGCTCTGAGACCATTTCATTTTTATCTATGACAGGCGATGCTTGTGCCCTACCTAGAACATCAGTTATCTTTGCAATATTTTTTCTTTGTATCAACTAGATGAAAGGAGTGGAAAACTCAGTTCTGTAGCCAAAACCTTGTCAAGAAATGGGCCTGAGTTAACACAGCCATATCCTCCATCCTATTGACCCTGAATTCTTTATGCAAGATGTCAAAGCCGTGGGACTAAGCAGATTTGTTGTCATGTCTGGGTGTGGAAATAATGGGAAGAAGCCAGTTTCAACAACATAATCTTAAAACAAACCCATGGGGATTTTCTCATATAAATTAGTGTAGACTTTGTTAGTCTAAACATACTCAGATTTCCACTTTGTATCTACTAAAAACTCTTCTGAAAGGTCTGAGTTTCTGAGAAGAGCTCAGAGGAGAGGGGGGAGTAGATGTCAGGTTGGATCAAGGTGACCAGCTACATGTTCCCCAAACCTGCACTGTGATACTGCACATCTTGGAATGGTAGGGTTGAGTCTAAAGTTCCATGATAGGATAAGAAAAATCAGCAAACTCAAGTTATCTATTAATGTCTTTTTCTGACAAGCTTGTACAGTGATGGAGTGTGGTACTACACAGCAGAGATTTCATAGTCTTCAGTTACGAAAACATCCTTACTCTTCATGTAGCCCAGCTTATTCTCTTTTCTCAACCAAATTCTTAAACAAGTATATTGGATTAAAGTCCACTTCACTGAGCAACTAAAATTCAGAAAAAGAGGTTTATGATAATGTATTTGAAGAGCATGATGTAGTATCTAAAAACAAAGGGGAAGGAGAAGATTTAAGGATGCGCTGTTAATTCTTATTCTGACATCTCTCTGCATTTTAAGGATAGATGTAACATACACATCTTAATAAAAAAGAATTTTATTCTGGGAAATCTTGGATAGCCCTTTTCTATGGGCAGAGCAACCTATGCCACGTGTAATTAGTACGACTAAAATAAAATTCTTGGCATGTAGTAAAAAAAATAACATCTATTATAGAATCAAAGTGTAACGAACAGCTTTGCTTTTAAATAAAGCCATTATTTTACATTTTATGTCATTATGGTAAAATGGTGCTACAATAAAAGCTACACCTCAGGAAGACATCCTCATTTTGATGTCACCTGTGAAGCTCAGTGCACTTCTTCCTAACACAGCCTCAGATAAGGATTTGTGTCCTGGTTCTCTGAACTCATGGAGTAGCCCTGTGTCATGGAGTTATCCAGATCAATCTGTACCTGTGAGAGGGGATAGTAGACCCATGGGCCCTTTGGCCCAAAAATGGGAAGGGAAAAAGGGAAGGGTAGAGAGCTAGGCCCAAAAACAGAAAACAGCAGCAATCATCTAAAAAGGAAAACTTAATTTTACTAAATATGATATCAGAATGCAAAATAACACAATATAACACAATATAATACAACGTAATTGAAATTAAGACTAATAAATCAAATAAAATGAGAGAGCGAGTGTCCGAAACTGAAAAGGCCTACTTTGAACTGAATGCACATGGTCGGGGAGCACATCCACACACTGTCAGGCAGCGAGCAAAAGAGAGCCAGAGAGCAAGATCCTGTGACTTCCTCTCATGGCTTATCTTCCTCTCTGAACATGAGGTCCCCTGGCACATGTAGTTCTTCTCTTCTGAGAACCAGGTATCTGGAAAGTTGTCACTCCATGGAACTGGAGTATTAACTCTTCAATTACCTGTGCTTTATGTGATGTTATCATCTGGAATAACAAAATTATAAAACCATGCTACCCTATGACTCATGTTCTGTCATTCTCAGACTCTCTGGCTGGAAACCTAAATCTCATAAATGCAAGGCTCCAATTATCAGCTAGTAAATCTTCGTACCTATTGGTTGTTCTTTAAGGTCAATTAGATTGAATAACTTTTCAATTTCTCCGTATTATGAAGGGAAATCTTTCATGCAGAATTGATGAAGCAGGAATGCTTCTTGCTGTAGTGGTCTTTTCTCTGCTCCAGTACAGCTGCATGCATGAGCAGCCTGACTTTGCTTTGAGAACCTTAAGCTGCATTCTTCAGAACAGTTGCTCGGTGTTGGTCAGATTTCTCTGCAGCCTTCTTTTCCATTTAGAGCTACTGAGGCTGACACATAGTTTCCAAGAACTTCAGCATGTCTTGTGTCTCCTGAATCCCAAATATTTCTCGAGTGCCTAGCAGAAGAATATCCAGATAATCTTTAGGCTGGTAATACAAGCTGGGAGAAGAAAGTCAGACAGCCTTGAAAATACAATGTAATTATTTCGTTTTATGTTAACTTGTGTCTTTGTTACATGTATGCTGCCATTGTTACGCTTAGAGCACTCTCTAGATTTGAAGAGGCTATAAAATCCTACTAATTCTAGCGCTAATAACAGCTTTTGCTGGTCACACTGTAAATGATATTGCCTGATGATTCATTTGAAAATGCAATAATGTAGCTTGAAAAATAAAAGATGAGCAACAAACTGAAACAAAAGAGCTTGTTGCCTTTCCTGAGACAATACTTATTCATTCCTGACCTAGGTTTACCTTCTTTTCCCT